AGATGTCGATGCAGACGGGGACGTCGACGTGTAACGAGTGAGTTGGCCAGTGCGTTCTCCAATTTTTTTTTTGTCTAACGGCACCAACCACAAAGCTCCTTTCACTTCTCTTCGCAGGTCTCCATTCACGCATGCGCACAAGGGAGCAGTTGTCATTTGACCCGAGCCACCGCCGCCGAAGTGACCGTGCCTTTGCGTCAAGTAACGTCTGCCCTCTTCCAGGTCATTTGGCGTTGCTCCTCTTGCCTAAATACACCATTTCCTCCTACCGTTGCTTTTCACCTCTGGCGTTCGACAGCTTCGTCGCTTATGCATGTCTCTTTTATGTTCTGTGTGCTTGTACAAATACGAATATTAGTTTTGTGGACGGGATCGCGTATCTGATAAGTCGCTGGGCTCGAGTAAAACTCGCACAAGACAACTCGAGTTTCCACCGGCACCTGCCCAACACGCAAGTAATCATGCTCTCTGTCATCCTCAACAGCGAGTTCGACTCGGAGCGTCAAGCTGGAACTCCGGTGAAACAAGCTGGAACTCCGGTCTTAAATAGGGACAATCTAATCTTTGCTTCCCACTTCCATGACCTCGTACACCCACGGCCACCAAGACTCAGTTCTACGCGCCCACTCATGGCGCACTGCCCAAAACTCCTGCGCATACCTCCTGAGCTCCCTCAAGCCCGACATGCACATCCTCGATGTCGGCTGCGGACCTGGAACGATCACTGTCGATCTGGCCCGTTTCGTTCCTCAGGGACACGTCACTGGCCTCGAGCGTTCTGCTGAGCAAGAGCCAGTTCTGCAAAAAGCCCGCGACCTTGCAGCTGCCCAAGGCATCAACAACGTAACCTTTTCGCTCGGCGACGCCCATGCGCTTCCTTTCGCCGACAACACGTTCGACGTCGTCCACGCGCATCAGGTCTTGCAGCATGTTGCCGATCCAGTCAAGGTGCTGAGCGAGATGAAACGCGTGGCGAAAAAGTCTGGAGGCATCATTGCTGTCCGCGATGTGGACTATGCATCCATGGTCTGGCACCCCGCCTCTGAAGGACTGACCAAATGGCATCCGATGTACGAGCGGACGGCACGCGCGAACGGGGGCGAGCCCAATGCCGGTCGGGTGCTGCTATCGTGGGCACTCAAGGCGGGGATTCCCCGTGAGCACATCGAGACGACTGTGGGTACGTGGTGCTTTAGCGAGGAGGAAGAGAAGAAGTGGTGGAGCGGGACATGGGCTGAGCGGGTCGTTGGGTCAGCCCTGGCGGAGACGGCCATTGGGCATGGAATTACGACCAAGGAAGAGTTGGAGGAGATGGCGGCTGCGTGGACGGAGTGGTGCCAGGCGCCCGACGCGTGGTTTGCAATGCTGCATGGTCAAGTGCTTTGCAGACTGTAAGAATTTTGTGTCTGTTTGTGTAAATATTTTCCCGATTCGGAAGATAAGATAATGCGATCGATATAGACCTTCAGTCCTTGCGAACGACTGAAGCCATAGCGCTGCATATAACCAACTTTGGTCACGGTGGAGTTTGCGAACAATTGGCCGCGGCCAATAATCCTTCGCCGCCATCACACCCAATCAAGCGACACGGAAGCAATTGCTTGTTCAGCACGCCATTGTCCTCACAGATACGAATGATCTCCTCCAACCGGATAGTCGGCTTTTAGAAGCCGACTGATGGCACGATGGTATCAGATGTGTGTGTGATGTGCCATCAGTCAGTTTCATGACACAAAACTCAACCTTGAGTCCTGTCCTATGCTCGAGCATTTTCTCTACCCACATGATGGCAAAGAATTCTTTCCAGTCCTCGGATCCAAACTGTCTGTCCCGAACATACACCAACAGGGCACTGCACAAGAAGGCAAACTCAATGCTAGACCAGACCTGGTCTTGACCTGGTCTTGTCTGGAAGACAGGCTGGTTTGAGCCTAACTCAATGCCATAGGCACCAGATGTGCACATTGCAAACAGGCACAGGCGGCCTATGAGCCATACAAAAGCACAGTCAATCTTTCAAATACGTGCGGATGATGTGGTTTACGCAATCCTCCAGCTTGGCTGGCTCCGTTTACAATAGACCATATTGGTTGCGCTCTGGAGACACTTTTATACGGGTCAAAATGAACAAAAGTCTATAACATTTTGGACACATGAACATACTGGGTGACTTTCCGTAAGGTTTATAAAAATGTTTTTAGACGAAATCTATGTTTGGCCGGGATGCCGGGCCTCCCATCAGGACCCGGAATCTAAGATCTCCTTGCTTAGCGTCTACAGACCGTCGAATAAACTAAAATCTGGAGGGGGGGTAGGTACCCCCTCTCCAGACTTCCCATCACTCGAATAGACCGTTTTGGGTAAGATGTCATGCGGAGTCACACGAGCCGCCGTCACCGTCTCACACGCACAACAGCTGCCCCAACTTGTCGCGTCTACGCAAGGCCCATCGACGGGCGGATTTCTCTGCGACCGGGTGCGTTCGACAGCCCTTGCTCATGGCTCCCTTCCCATGTTATTTGTTTTGCTGTCTGTTGCGGCCGTTGTCGCCCTTCATCGCCGACATCACACCCCTGCTTGTTGTGCACCTCCAAGGCAGACTGGGTGCTCAAATCTCTCGCAAATAGTAGGTGCGTCTGAGAGACCTGCTTTCGCTACACTCGCGCTCACATCTGACCTAGTCTCCGTCTGGTGGGTCTTCCTCGTCGTGCTCCTCTGTCGGACACTGGACAATGTGGTGAAGAGGGTGAATATGAGGAGAACACTCGAGGCAAGCCGGCCTGCTTTCGCTACACTCGCGCTCACATCTGACCTAGTCTCCGTCTGGTGGGTCTTCCTTGTCGTGCTCCTCTGTCGGACACTGGACGATGTGGTGAAGAGGGTGAATATGAGGAGAACACTCGAGGCAAGCCGGGGACGAGGAGGACCAGGACCAGGAGCCGGACTCAGGTAGTCAGGTAGTTGTGGCGAGCTGAGATGGCACCTACACTTTCAATACACATCCACTCTCGCCCATTGCGCACAACCCTGCGACGACCGACCCGCGGCCCTAGAGCCCATTGACCCCGATGACGCCCCTGTTCTCCTTCTTGGCTTTCCGTTGTTTCGCGCGTGTTGGAATGGCACGATGGAGCCGGGAATGCCAGCGAACTGGCTGGGTCAGTGTGATGGCGCGACAGAGCATCGCTGCTGTCGCAAACCCTGCAGATTATTTATTCAAACTACTACGGAAGGCTTCCACAGTTATATCATAGAAAGTAATCTGCACCTAGCCGAGATCACTGGCACCCGGTTTTTACTGCAGACATTTCTTTTTTCTTACGGAAAGTCACCCGGTGACTAGTACACCAACTCAATGCCTCCACCAGTCACGGTGTTGATATAGAAAATTGGCTGAAGTTCTGTGGAATAATTTTGGGCTTTTCTATGTGCAACTAATATACCTATTAATATGTCGGTGAGTTATTTCTTAACACTCTAACAAAAACTGACCTCGCAACCCTGAGACAACCTTTGTTTTTGCCATCATGTGTCTCACAAGCCAACTCGTTCGGCGCATTCTCGCTCTCGACTATTGCGTGTCCAAACGGTCGGTTGAAGGTATCTTAGGCTACCGGGATGGTGGTCTTCGTCGTAAGTAGTCCCCTCGTTGTGAAACTGACGGACTACAGACGCTTGATGGTTTTGCGTTGCTGTGGCCGTTCTGGTTGTTGGCTTGCTGGCAATGCGAACTTGCTGGCGTCAAGAAAGTCTGGCTCGTGGTTCTGTGCGATCTGGGCATCGTCAGCTCTCTATCGACAATGCCTTCGCATCACAGGTGTTTCGACCACCATGTCTCACTGGCTCCACCTTCCCGCACGTGTTCGTGCACGGGCCTTTCCATCTCGTCTCACATCGACTTCATTCGGTGTAATGCGACTTGTGTTCGCACCTCTCGACAACACCCATATTCCGACGGTATTCGACATTGTTTCGACGGCATCTCGCTGTCCCATTCTTTGCGCCGGTGTTTGGGCACGACATTTCGTCCTTGTGACGAGCAACATCTCGCATCGACTTCACTCGGCGCAACTCAGTGTTGCGTGTGCTGGCTTTATCATTGTGTTGTGTGTTTTAAAGCTTACCACGAGTTGCCATACCCGCGGATGTCTGCACAGGTACCCGTGTAAAAAACCCGCGGGTTTCAAACCCGCGGATACAGGTACCCGTTTCCCACGGATGCCACGAGTACAGGTATGGATTGAGCAAAATCTCGGAGGTCATTTGCAAGCTCATCTCCCTATGTAAACCCATTAAGGAGCCATTAGATTCAACAACTCAGCTGTAGGGAAGGTTCATCTCACCCATCTACCATAGTATGACGGCTGTGGACCCCTTACAACCTGTATTCAGCCCAAAAACCCGCGGGTTATCCATGCAGGTACCTGTATCCGCGGATACAGGTATCCGTTTTCCCACGGATGGCAAGAGTGGAGGTATGGCTTTTGAGGACCCAAAAACCCGCAGGTATTGCAAGGGTTAAAACCCGTGCAACTCGTGGTAAGCCTTAGTGTGTTTGGGTTTTGCCCAACGGCCTGAGAGGAAGGTGCGGTGGAGGACGGATTCCGTTTGGTGGAGGCTGGGGATTTCCACCCGGGCGGAGACATACGCACCGGGACCTCTAGGAGGCGAGAACGCGTACCAGGGCCCTAATTTATGGGTTTTATCCAGCATCCTGCCACGTTTGGGACGGCCGAATTCCGGAGTCTTGCTCGATATTGTACATTCCTCAAGGGTTTGTTGGGTTTGGATGTTGGTGTTTACTTTTGTATGTAGTGTATATGGCCTGCCACTTGGTTGTGAGGTAGAGGTTCCCCATAGGAGGGTTCAGGTCGCCTGCGATTGGGTGTCAGGTCCGGCTGTTCCCGCGTGGGACCACAATGCCATTTCACAACAACCCTCATTAGTCGACCTGCCGCTCTCGTTCGACTCGAAGTCACCCTTCCGCAATCTCGTCTGTGGGCACAGTGGCGGAGTGGTTAACGCGACAGATTCGAATTTCTTGCATCCTATCTGTTCCTCTTTGAGGGCGCATGTTCGAATCATGCCTGTGTCGCTTTTTTGCATCCATTCGATGCAGCTACGCGTCTACGTAATCACCAGTTCTTTTGCCTCGCAAAACTCGTCGACTACACTGACGATATCCATGCCCACGACCACCTCTCCTCATTTCCGTATGTAACCGAAAGTAAGTACCAGAAATAGTGGTGGTCGGCAGTATGCACAGCCACCCGCACCTTTGACACGTCCCTCATCACGACCGTTCCGACCATGGCGTCGGCCTGTTTCCGCCCAACTCTGGCGGCTCTCTTCCTCCTCTTATCCCTTGCACTTGTCCCTTCCACACACGCGATCAAGTTTTCCCTGCCTCCCGCCCGTTTTCCGGGAACCAAATGCATCTGGAACCCCGCACACAACAACGCACTCGTTATAGTCACTGCCAATGTGGGCCCGGGGGAACACCAGCGCGTGGACGTTGAGATTATCGACTCGAGCCCGCAGAAGAATGTCTATTTGAGCAAGCGGAATATCAACGGGGAGACGCGACTGGCGGTTACTTCGCATGCGGATGGCGAAGTCGGGGTGTGCTTCAAGAACTACCTGGACAAGGGTGCGTAGCATCTTGCTAGTCTGCTCAGCACTGAACACTGGGCTGCAGACACGTCGTCAGAAAAGGGCTTGAAGCTGTCTCGTATAGTCGACCTGGATGTTGATATTGGTGCCGAGGCCGTCGACTACAAGTCGGTTTACATCTCCCCAGGGCTGACTGCACGCTGACTCTGCTCAGTGCGATTGCGAACCAGGAATCGCTCTCTGGGCTCGAGACGGAGATGCGGAAACTGGAAGGTCTGCTGAAGGAGATTGTAGACGAGATGGGCTACCTCAAAAAGCGTGAAGAGCGGTTCTCGCAGACGAATGGTACTGTTCTTGCTGCTGCCAGGCACCTCCGCTCACAGAGTTGCAACAGAGTCGACGCAAAAACGTGTGCAAAGTTTTGCATGGTTTACGATACTGGCGTTGGCAGCGCTGGGTGTCTGGCAGATAGTCCATTTGCGCTCCTTCTTCAAACGTAAATACCTTATTGACTAGAGCAAAACTTTCCGTTCTGGCGCTCATATTGTGTTGTATTGGTGTCTTGGATAAATACTCGTCAGCTTCATGTGCGGTCACGGCATAAAACGCGCTTGATGCCGCCCCCACCATGTCGCTGTACTCGGCGGCGGGCTCACAGGCCTTTCGTCTGCCTTCCACCTCTCCCGACGCTTCCCCTCGTCTGTCGTAACACTCATCGACAAAAACAAGCGTCTCGGCGGCTGGGCATCGAACACCGAACGCGTAAAGCTGCCCAACGGTTCGGTCGTGCTGGAAGGCGGACCACGCAGTCTTCGACCAAACTCTTATGCCGTTCTCGAATTGGTGACAGTCTCTACGCGCATTTTCTTGCCAAATTGACCAATCTCAGGTATAGATCCACCTGCTCGGCCTCTCCGACACGGTCATAACAACACCGAAATCCTCACCCGCCGCCAAGAATCGCTACCTGCACGTCCCCGGCACCCCAGGCATCTACCGCATTCCCGGGCCCAGCCCTTCGTACCTCTGGTCGGAGCTGCGCTTCTTCATCACGCCTGGAGTGACTTTCGACCTTGTCCGCGGGTGGAATCGGCCTGCTGATATGCTCGACGAGAGCGTGGAGAGTTTTTTGGAACGGAGAGGACATCCCGACACCGCAAGAGTACTAGGCAGCGCGTTGGTCCATGGGATATATGCTGCCGATGCCCGAAAACTCAGTGTGCGTGCCGCGTTTCCGATGCTATGGGAACTCGAAGAACGGGGGAAACGGGCGTGTGCTGTGGGGACTCATATCGCGGTCGCGGAAGGAGAAAGAAGAGGCGAGGCAAAAGCTGCAGGAAACTCTCGCAGGATACGAACTCGGCGACCTGAGACAGCGGATGGACGGCGTTTCGGTGTATTCATTCCGCGACGGAATGGGCACGCTCGCAGATGCTTTGAGAAATACCCTCAAGACACGTCCGAATGTTCGCATCCTCGAAGGAACGGACATTACTGCGGTTGTTCCTCAAAACGATAACTTTGAGGTATTTAACAACCTATTTGGCCACATTCTGAGCACTGAGCGCGTCTCCAGATAACGACCAAAACAACAAATCCTCTGTATCCGTCGCACGTCGTCTCCGCTCTCCCACTTCCCGCCCTCAACAAGCTTCTCCCCGCCGAACATCCCCTTCCACACTTGACCGCCAACCCGACCTCCTCCGTCACCGCTATCAACCTCGTATTCTCTGCTGCCCCCGGAAAGCTCTTCCCGCGCGGCTTCGGATATCTCGTCTGTCGCCCGGCCCATGACTATCCTGCAGACGACGCAGGGATCCTAGGCGTCACATTCGACAGCGAGTCGCTCTCTGCCCAAGATGACCTTCCCCCGGGCGAGGCCTTGTCCAAAGTGACGGTCATGCTCGGCGGTCCGCATAATGCGTACCAAAAAGTCGAGACCGCGCTACCATTGATTCTCGCACATCTGCGGTACCATCTCAATCGACGGACGCCGCTGCCTCAGCCGATATTAACGAAGGTATGGGAACATCCTGATTGCATACCGACACCGACGCCAGGGCATCTGGAACGTATGGACGAGCTGAGAGCAGCGCTTATTGCGGAGGATGCTCCTTGGGGTGGCCGAATGGAGGTCATCGGCGCAGGTGTCAAGGGCGTAAGTATGGCTGATTGTGTAGAGAGCGGGAGGCTGGTGGGGAGAGAATGGTAGTACAACAACGTTGCCTCATTCCATTTGAACTGCATACAAATGACTATCCTAATCTTCACTGCAGATGCCCGCCCAGATACAGTCCCTCCACGCTGCGTACATGAGAACAACAAAGTTCTGGCCCTCGGGGCTGCCAGCTGTCCACGGATTCGTATCCTGCCATCCGAGGGGATTCACAGCCGGCGTCACTGTCCCGTTGCTCGTCACATGGTCATTTTGCCCAAGCGCGAGGCGAACACCATCTGCCCAGGCAACATACGTGCTCGCGGGGAACGCCTTTGGTGCGAGGATGACCATGCGATAAGCCACGCTCGCAATCAACGAACTGCCAGAAATTTCTCCGAAGCCGTGGCCGTCCTCCGTCGTGTCGTCGAGGTAGTTTCGAAGCAAGCCTCCATCTGCAGGCGAGCGGCGGGCGCCGTCTATGATCTCCTTGATCCATCCTGTGAGGTCTGCAATCGCGTCGGCTTGCCATGTCGCGTTCTGCGCTATGGGTGCCTTGATTACAGTCGCAAGGACCCGCGCCATACCAGCAGCAGCCCAGCCATTGCCCGTACTCCACAATCCTGGATCGGCACTTTGAGGACCCACAATGTGATGCCAGCGTCCATCGGAAGCCGAGGTATTGAGCGGAGACGGGGTGCTCGAGTTGGTGCCAAATAGCAGAACCTCGCGGTACAGCCCGCTTTGCCGGTACGCCGTCTCGAGAAGCGTCTCGTTGTCCGTGTCGGCCGCAAAGTACGCAATGTAGGGCGGAGCCATGAACATAAAATCCGCCCACAGCTCAGCGACGTCGGCGCGTTGCGATATCGCGCCGTTCGGCCACCGTGGCGCCCCAGAGATGATGTAGTCAATCTCTTCTTGACATGCGACTGCGAAGGAGTTGTTGGACTTGGCTAGCATGACCGCGCCCACGCCTAGACTCGCAGGGTCCCCGACCGCTCCGTCCCCGTTCGAGAGTCCGTTAATCCCGTATGCAATGTGCGACTGCGCGTAGGACAGCGATAGGGTAGTCGACACGTTCATAGTGGGCACTGGGAATGGGTTTGGGCCAAAGACCGAGTATGCTGGGTTGTAAAGTTCGAGCAAAGCTTCTGTCGCAGCCCCAAATTCCCAGGAATGCGAGGGTAATGCTTGCGCAATACTGGATACCGCAGAGATGTTGAAGCCGGGGTCAAAGGGAAATGGATTTTGTAGGGACGCGGAACTGGAATTCGCAGATGCCGCTGCTGTGATGGCGGAGGAAATAAAGTTGAGGAGGCCCGCAGCAGAGGAAGAAGACATTATGGTGAAGGGGGAAGCGGGAAGAGAAAAGGGCTCGAGTTCGAGAACATGGACACGCGCTGAAACGCCGTGATATCGCGTTGAACTGTTCACTTGTTGATTCCGACATCATGGCGCGCGAAACACCGCCGGGTTTGCATAGGTTTGCATCCCTTGGCGGCCGGTAGCTAGCGGACCTGAACCTGGATGGTTTGCGGCAAATTGCTATATGCATATCTACGGCACGCCTGTTGTTTATCAGCTAGATACACGGGCCATAAATATCTTCCGAATGAATCAAGGACGCGTAGAAACAAAGGCAGTTCATATGTCAAGCTGGGCGCCGAGGTACATTGGGAAAAGTACAGTCTCCATGTAAAGCTTCCACTGATGCGTCGGCGTCTGCTCGCGTATATCTCTCAGCGCAATTCCCCAGCAAATCTAAAGTCAAATCAACGGCCCATTCCGAATCAAAAGACCACTCACATCTAGGGTACAATCAACGTACTTTTTATCCTGGTCGTTGAAGGTGTTGGCGATCCGTACAAGGGCGTCGATGATCTCGCGGTGTTTCGTACGTGGTATTGGGTGGAACGGCGCGAATATACCATAGAGCTCGGCGAGGGACGCCAGTGACATGATAGCACACCCGCAGTAGGAGACCAGTACACCGTGGGGAGCTCCGTATTGTGCGAGTTCATGCTGTGTGCGTTGGACGACAAGGAGGTGGGTGGTGATATTATGAGCTAGAGTCCGGCAGCGTTCTGTCCATTCGGTGGCAACAAATTGTCCCGACTGCCAGTCTTCCCATTCTTTCGCCAGTTGTTGGCTTTCAACGAGGAATAGAGCGGTTTTGGCCTTCAGGAAGTTGATCTCGGTCTCTTGGTCGAATCTAGCCTATTCGGGCATTAGTAGAAGGCACCGAACGCAATCATAAATAACTCACAGCAATTCTTGTGAACTTGACCAACATGACAGGTGGGATTCGTAGAGCTTTTTCGAACTTG